TGAGGAACCAAAATCTACAGACGGGAAGGGGTGCAAAATCATATACCAACAAACATTTTGCATAATATCCCAGAGTAATCAAATGTGTCATTACATATTAAAACTAATTTACGCACAAAGTTTCTCATACTTTGTATACACACATACTTCTACTGTTCAAGGTGTCAATTCCACTTTTACATTAGCTGGACCCTATGGCATTGATCTTAAATACTTACACTAAAGTATTCAAGACTATTTACATTTTTATTACCCAACAATAGAGTAAACTAGACCTATAGCTCAACATTTTTGATCAGTTAAAAGGTTTATGTAGTCAATAACCTTAATCCCTACAAAGACTTGGTTGAAAGCATTTTACTGTTAAAAGCATTGTGTTGTTAACACTTATTCATGTCAGCAGGTTCTATTTTGTACCAGCTGGTGAATTACAAGTCTTTGCATTTTTTTCTTTTTATTTTATGGGGGTTAAGAGTCTGAGAATACATGGAAAGCAATAAGAGGCAGATTGTTTAACAGTACATACAACTGCCAGCAGCTGTCCTTTTCTTAGACCTCACAGATCCTTAGTATTTCACTTAAAACCTAAATGCCCATTTCTCAAGCTTAGTTTTTATTTCATAAGCTCTGTGACAAATATAACAAATGAACTAAACCCACTGTTCCACACAAATTGCACTTCCATCTGAACATTACTTAGTTTTTCTTTCTATATGAAGATCAGAACCTGCTTTCTTCCTCAACACTGTTCTGCTGGTGAGGGTAAGAGGGGGGAAGACAGTAGGTATCTCTTTAAGAAAATGAGAGTTTAAACAATTCTGGAAAAGTACCTCGTGTGACCAACTACAAGGGCTTCACCTACTAATAGTTATTTTGTTTTTAAAATATACAAGCATAAGGCTCAGAGAAAACCACTGCATATACTACTAATGGTGACAAATGCAGTTGTATATTACATAAGAACAACATTCAAATTAATAATAAAATTTGTTGTTTAACAGTTTTCCTTCAGGAGCGTTGTTACCCTACTTGCCAAATACCATTTTTACCTGACAAATGAGAGAAGTGGGGTATATAGTACATATTACAAGACCTGCACCAACAGTTCTGCACTATGTTGTCAACATAGAGATTGAACAAGACAAACGAAAAATTGACTAGGACTACCTTAATATGGGCAAATAAAGTCCTTCATTTGATTTCATGCTAGTCCTAACATGGAGCTCCATATTTCTACCAATATTGATGTAGGTCCCAGAACAGAAGTCACAAGCTAGTCAGGGTGATGCATTTCATGCCGTGGATTCATATGGTCTCATCTTGAAGGACAAAGAAGGTGCATTTTTTCAAGCATTTTAGCTCCACCAAGCTCAATTTAATTGAAGACATAACACATTTGAAGCTACTTTAGCTGCCTAAAGTCCCAGATTGGGAGAGCCTACAGAGCAGTGTTAAGCTTCACAGGGCACCTTAACTCTGAGTTTCCTAGATTTGTGTTAATTACAATATTCTTGTAATACCTTTACCCTAAACTAAAACAAAAACAGAGCGCTGTAGGTAAGAAGTGGATCCAAGGAGGGTACAGTGGCGCACTACCTGTGCAAGGAGGTCTCTGGGCTCATCAGCAGGTTTTCACAGGCTCTTTGTCAGAGCCACTGCTTTTACACAGCTCTGGAGTCCAGGGGCAGCACTGCTACTATTAATCCCTCCATTTCCCCTGTCCCCAAATTTGGCACAGGGAGGTGGCAGGAAGGAGTGGGGTAAGTAACAGAAGTGCTCAGCCCCTACGGCAGAGCTACACAAAAGCAGTGGCTCCGGCTGTGCCACATATGATGAGCTCCCGGTTGGTCAGGTCAAGCTCTTGCTTAAAGGATGCAACCGCATGCCCTCCCAAACACTCTTCTCCAGGTTCTACCCATGCTACTGATTAACCTCTGTAAATATGAAGATCTGTACCAATAACCTTATCTTTCTTTTCTCCCTCCAAATCACCCTACCCCAGAACTATTAGTATGTATGTGCATCACGAAAGTGCTAAAGGAGCCCAGTCACTGAGTTTTAATACCTTGCACTTAGGAGTTCACCCTTTGTTCCTAACTTAATCCCATGCCCCAAGCAGTGATACCTGTGCATCAATTTATGTTCCTCTCAGCTAAACATTCACTAATATCAGATGTCTGTTCTAGGACTAAATGCCAGGGAAACATTCAGTAACAACTTCAGAATTACTACTGTTATAATTAAAACCCTGCAAGTGTCAACTGTATGAGTAATCTTTATCTAGCCAGTTCTATAGCACTATTTCTCAATATCAGAGCATTCTTTTAAACCAGGGCTGCACAAGTGCAGCACGCCCAGGCACGGCTCCCCCAATTGCTCCAGCTACTACTACCTCCAGAGCCTCTGGGCTTCCCCTCCCTCTTCGTTTCTTATCCCTGCCTCTGGGTTCAGGGCTGCAAGTATCAGGGAGCTCAGGGCCCTGGGATTCAGATGACCCCATAAGGCAGTACAGCCTGCATGGCAGCAGAAACTCCAGGTGACTTGTGCAGCCAGGATGGGGGAGGCATTGAGGAGAAACCACGTGGTGCCTGGTGGGGAGGGACACGACAACTGCATAGTGTGTGGCCTAGAAGGCATAGGAATTGAGTGGATGCAGGCCCCTGGCCTTTTAAAATTGGGCTCCCCAATTTCTTTAAGACCACCAGTCACTTCATAGTTGGCAGAATTTAAAGAATAAAAATCAGCAGTTGTATGGACAAATATGATCTGTTGGAGAAAGGTCAGCATGGTCTTTATGAAGGGAAATCTTGCCTCACCAATCTACTAGAGTTCTTTGAGGGTATTAACAAGCACATGGATAAAGGGGGGGGCAGTTAATATAATCTACTTGGACATTCAAAAAGCTTCCACAAGATTCCTCAACGGCTTTAAAAATGGAGTTGCCCCAGAATTGAGGCAGGTTCTTGCATGGATCAAGGACTGGCCAAGGGATAGGAAACAAAAGGATAGGGCTAAATGGTCACTTTTCAGGATGCAGGGAAGTCTAAAGTGGGGTTCCACAGGGATTTGTGATGGGCCCAATTTATTCACCATTTTCATCAATGATTTGGAAGTGGGGATGCACAGTGAAATCTCCAAGTTTGCAGATGACACCAAATTATTTTAGGTGGTCAAGTTCCAAACTCATGCAAAGAACCTACAGAAAATATCTAACCAAACTAAAGTGAATGGGAAAGAGAGAGGCAGATGAACTTCAAAAGCCAACAAATGCAAGGTAATGCAAATGGGGAAAAACAACCTCAACTATATATGTACACAATACGGGGTTCTGAAATAGCTGTTATGACTGAGGGCAGAAGACGACCGTGGAATTGCTGGAGAGAGATCTCTAAAAACATCAGTCCAATGTGCCGTTACAACCCAAAAAGCTAATACAACATTGGGCATCATTAAGAAGGAAAATGAAGAACATCGTCATGCCATTATACAAAGCCATGGTGCACCCACACCTTGAATACTGTAGACAGTTCTGATCTCTGTACCTCACAAAAAGGAAGTAGTAGAATTGGAAACGGTACATGAAGGGCAACCAAAATGATCAGGAAGGTAGAGCAGTTACCATACCAGGAGAAACTATAAAGGCCAGGGCTCTTCAGTTTAGAAAGGACAAGGCTGAAGGGTGCGGGGAGGAGGGATATGACCATAATCTATAAAATCATGAATGATGTAGACCAAGTGAACAGGAACTTATTTATCAAGTCCCAGAATACTACAACTAGGGGGCATCCACTGAACTGAACACGATAACAGTGTAAATATCTATTTAAAAAACCCAAACAAAAAAATTGACAAGCAAATGTACTTTTTTATGCAACATATAGTTAATTTGTGGAATTCATTGCCAGAGGATATTGAAGAGGCACACAGCATAGCCAGGTTAAAAAAAAGACTAGATAAATTAATGGATGATAGGTCCATTAATAGATTTTGAACAGAACAGTTGAAGATGTTCCCTCTGGCACCCCTAACACAAGAAACAGTAGATGCAAGGGAGGGTAATGAGACCAATCTTGTCCCAATACTTGACCACCTTCATAGTCAGAAAGTTCTTCCTGCACCATGGATTTGTATAATGGCATAATGATGATGCCATTCTCCATTTCTTTATTCATGATGCCCAACATTGCATTGTCTTTTTTGGGTTCCTCAGTCATAGCTTAGATAAATCACTCTAGAGAGATCTAGTTCAGTATTTTCCCTCTAAAGCACAGATACTATTGGTATGACTCAGTAAAGCATGTTCTTATATTCATAGAATTATTTTATAATAAGATCCTAGGAAAGCAGGGCTAGAATGGACCTCATGAGGTCATCAAGCCCAGCCTCCTGCTCAGGGCAGGATTCATCCCTGAATGAGCCATCCCAGTCAAGAATTTTTCTAATTCGCTCTTGAAAAGACAACATCTACATCTACATCATCCCAGTGCTTGATCACCCTCCTAGTCAAAAAGTTCTTCCTAATCTCTAAGCTAAATTTCTTCTGATATAGCGCAAGGCTATAACTTTCTCTCAGTGGCTACAAGGAAAGGACTATGAGCAACCTCCATCCTCTATATTTAAAAAAAATCTTCCCTTCAGGTATTTAAAAGACTTATCAAATCCCTTCTCAGTCTTTTCTTCTCCAGATTAAATACTAGTCCTTACAGCCTTTCCTCTTAAATCATTATTCATAGGCCTCTAGTCCAACAGACTCTCCCATCTGTCACTGTGGAGCCCACAACTGGACACAGTATTGACAGTGGTTCAGATGTTTGCATACCTTAAGAGTCCATGCAAAGCTGAGGCACACCACACTGAAGTAAATGGAAAGCTATCTCCTTGGCTTTTTAAAAAAAAATTTTTTATTTTTTTTTGACAGGCACTAACATCGTTACTTAGAGAGACAGCTTTTAAAGTCCACTGCACCCATAAAATTAAAAGGTCTCTAAAGGACCAGCTACCTGTTCGGTGATCCTCATGTGGAAGTCATGAAAGTCACTGTAGCGACGGTAAGTTTTCCATGTCTCTTCACTGTTTGGAAGTCGCCGATGTACAGTGATGGCATACAGTGCATATGTCTTTCCATGGTCATTACATACTCCTGCCACAGCATATGGGTCATAGTCAGCATAGACTGGTAATTTCAAACAAATGAAAGGGAAAAAAAAAAAACACAAGGAAGGAAGACGAAAGCACAGACATGAAATGAAGAAAATGTCTGAAGTGACAGACTCAGACAAAAACGGATGCTCAAGGAGTATAAGCCTTCTTGCAATTGAAAATCTGTAGTATCATCCAGACGCACATACTAGTGTCTGGCACAAGTAGGAAGTTTTACTAACAAATTTCTGCCGGCTAACGTTTCCACTCTAGGTTTGGGGCAAGCAAAAGACAGCGGACTCTTGTGAACGTTTTAACTGATTTGATCGACACAAACTGTATGGCCAGTCCAGGAAAAGCATTTAACTACCATAACCAAGATGACACATCCTAGTGGTACCCTATTTAAATTGCCACAAAACTTCTAACTTTTGCAATAAGTCTTTACTATTTATATTTGCATTACATACCACTAGGATCATACCCCTAAATCATGAACCAGGATCCCCCTGCACTAGGTTAATTATATGTAGGAAACAACAATTATACTTGTTCCAAAGAGCTCTCAAACTAAACATAAATGAGATAGATGAACAACTGAGTACACGCAGGAACAATGAAACAATCAGTCAGTCAACAAGAGAGGCAGAGGTATTAGGACACTAGCCTATCCATGTCTAGGCATCATGGCAGAGAGCTTTGAGTAAAACAATATTAGTTTTCAAGTGGTTTACAGAGAAGGCCACAAATGAAACGGTCTTCACTGGAGACAATTTAAGATGCTTATTTTTAAAACTAAAGTACAAGATGTAAACTAATATGATTAGCTAATCCCAAGACTAGAAGAGATGAGTAGACAGGTGGAAAGGAAGCCAAAATGAATTCTTGAAAGCAATAGCTTACATCTGATGCACTACAGAATGGAGGAAACAGTAGACAGATGCAAAGAAAGGGGAGACATGTCCAAAACAACTAGGAAAACCGCTTTTGCAGCAGCAACCTGAAGTGTGTAGGACTCCTGTTCTTAAAAAACAGCCTCATCTTCCACACCAGCCCAATACATTAAACACAAAAATAAGTTCTGTGCACTGAATGAGGCAAGGACCTGGGGGCGGGGAGACAACAAAAAACAAAGAAGCCACAAACCATACACACCCCTGTGTAGAAGGGAAAAAATTAAAGTTGAATAGGTTCTCAGTACTACTGTTGCCTCATTTTTTAGTTTTCTGCTTTGTAAACTTGGCATTCTTAAGGTAACTATAGTATAACAAGCAACACTAGTAAAGGCTTTCAAAAGTTGTGCTAAACTCAAGAAAAGCCCTTGTAAAAGCTTTCTATGTAAATATCTCCAACAAAAAGCATACAGGTATCTACCATATTCACCTTACTTTATGAAGGTATGACTGACCAGGTCTGCCTGTCCATCATGAAATTATCATGTGCCTAAGAAACCACATGCACAACTCCTGAATAAAAAAAGAGATACTAAAACATAGCATCTCCAGCAACACCTTGATACTAGAACAGGGGCAGGCAATTATTTCAGATGGAGGGCCGCTTACTGAATTTTGGCAAGCCATTGAGGGCCACATGACAGGCAGCCAGGGGCAGATAAATATTAATTTTCTAAATTTAAAGGGCCCTGCCAGCCGGATAGAATGGCCCGACAGGCCGTATGCGGACCATGGGTAGCCCACCCCTGTATTAGACCAAAGTCAAACACAGGGACAGAAACAAAATGAAGTAGTATTGATCACATTACTGTAGTGGCATAATGTGCTCAGATTTTATATATTTTATACCATTAGATGCAATCTTCTTTTACTTAAAATGAAGTAGCAAAAGATTAAGTCCCTTCCACAGTAGTGAAAGTCACTTAATCTTTCTATAGAAAGGTAGATGAAAGTGTTATAATAAAGAAGAAAAACAGTGAAGAACAACATTTGGTTGACTGAAGAACAAAGGGAGGTGACAGCTACACTTGGACAAATTACATTTTTAATAAATTCAACTGAAAGCTATAAAGCTGCTGCAGGCTAAACTACTGAATTCAAATTAAGGAGTTCTCAGTTCATTTGGTAGACCTTTAAGATAAGCATTAACATTAACATTTCTCATTTCAGGGTTTACAGGAAGGCTACAACAGAAGTTTGATGAGGGTTCCTCTGCATTACAGTAACCCTATACCACAAGTACAAACTTCATAAAGACGAAGTGAAGAACAGATAGGTAAAAAAGCATTAGGATTTGGAGAGGCCTGTAACATTAGAAATATTTAAGATAAAAGTTATATACATCACATAGTAGAACCTTTGAGAGATTAAAAAACAACATCTTGGAAGAACACAAAACCCACCACAGAAAAATCACTTACCAGTATCAGAGATGTGCGCATGTAGTTGTACTAACTCTTCAGAAGAGAGAGTTGAAAGATCATCTAAGGACTGAAGGAAAGAAGAGCAAAAGATCATAGATGTTACACTTAAAAACAAAACACAAACCCCCCTCCACCATTACTTTATTTTAACCTCCTAATTCAGAGTACTGAAGAGTAGACTATTCTATACTGAAATACAATTTATCTTGAAATATTTGCAGTATTTCGCTCCTACAAATTCTCATCATATTGAAAGTAGTGGTCCATATTTTAGAAGTTTATCTTTAAGTAGTTTATGTAAGAACTTTTTTTCTTATTTGGTAATCATGAAGAATCTTTACTATAAAACGCATTACAAAGTATTTCATTTTAGTATTGAAAATATCACTTCAAAATACTGCTCATCTTTTGGTTAGATTAGTCACTTTCTCCTGTAAAAAACTGCAACACACCATAAATATATTGATACAAAACTAAAATGTCCTATTTGTACTCAGAAGGGGAGTTCACATTGCTAGGGTTTTGGGGGGGGGTTTTCCCCCCTTCAAGGCCAAGACTTTTCCATCTAAATATGTAATTGTGAATTTAAAAATACACCATTGTAAATATTGAACCACCATTTAAGATTACACTTGTGGTCACATTTAGCTGCAAAAGAGGCAAAGGTGTCAAGATACAAAAAGTTTTGTTTTGTTTTTTTAAAAAAAGGCAGGATGAAAACCAGAAATCTAAAGTTATTCCAATGAAGTTTTAAATATGTTAGAAGGACTTCCATTCACTAAAGTTTTTTTGGACATTAAGATTTCATAACTTAAAAACTGGACATACCTAACAAGTGTGCTGTGTCAGTGGGCATACTACCCACCACAGAGTATGATTAACAGTGGTGTGATAGCCAGAACCAGAGGGATTAATAAGCAATAATGTGTGCTTCTTGGAGGCATTTGGTATTTTGCCTAAATAGGTAATATTAGTTAATATAAGCTTGTAAGTTTGTAAACTGCAAATGTAACTTGTCTGTCATAAGTTTAACCAAACTGGTAAATTAACTGTTCATGGAACTGACTGGGCCCCATAGGCAAAGCTGTAGCTGTGAGATTAGCTGGCCTAGTGGTTTTTTGCTCAGGGTTCAGCCTCAGCAATAAAAACTGGATTTAACTGCTAGGCACACCCAAACACGTTCCAGGAAAGCGTATCCCAAGAAAGCATATTCAACTGAAGCCTAAAAGGGGTTGGGATTTAGGCGGAGCGATGTCAATTTCAAACCTAAAGGTGCTGCATCATAATTTGCTTATTGGATAAACCTGAGTCTGGGTAGTAACCTTTTATGATAATTTTAACACCTTTCAATCCCATAGGGTAACAGCTATAGGGCAATATTGTGAGTGGCCCTTAGGCCAACAGATTAACATAAGACTAGGTATAAAAAAAAAAAAAAAAACACATGCATCAGATAGGAGGTTCACTGGAATCACTTGGCGCGCACCTGGCATTGAGGGACTATTGATAAGTTGCCAACCCATGTCTGTCTATTTGTTGTTTTGAACAGCCCAGTGTGGCTAATACCCTCACAGTGCCCAGTTGGCCTGTGACAGATTGATCTATCTATATGTTATTATTATCTGTTGTTATTATTTTACTATTAGCTCTTTTATACTGCCTTATCTGCTTATCGCATTTATCTTTCTGTTAACTGTCGTGTGTGTGTAAGCTATAATAATTTGCCTTTATTCCACTCCCAACTTTTGCCTCCTCGATCCGAAACTGAATCAAACAGCCCAGTTGGCCTGTGATAAAATTGATACACTCACAGTGCCCAGCTGGCCTGTGACAAGTGGTAAACAATTAATGCCAGTCAACTGAACCCAATACACTATATATTGAGATAGTAATAAACAAGAGGGGTTTTTTTCTAAGACAAGGGTTTTCAATCTGGATGGGTTTTTTTTGTTTTTTTAAACAAGTATACCCCTTCTGGTGGCAGTGGCTGAATGTGGAACAGAGGGGGAGCTCGCATGAGGCTGCTGCCACCACCCACCACCCCATACTGCTGCTGCCATCACCCACCGCCCCACTTTCCCATGGCCACTCACACGTGCAGCTCCACAGGCTGTTGCCAGGCCTTGTGTCCAGCCAATTGTGCACTACCTGTGGTGGGCACGAGCCAGCCCCCCTCCCCCCATCCAGCCCACAGGGGGCACCGCTGCCCTCAACCCCCCAGTTGCAGGCACAGAAACACTCCCTCCCAACCCAGCTCCCTCCCACACTCCCTTCAGACCCTTTGGCTCCTCGCTGCCCTCATGGCTCTGCAAGCAGAGGGTGGTTGCGGAACCTCCTCATCATTGGCTATCGGCCAAGGGCAGCGGCCAATCAGGAGAGCAAGCTGGGGTGGGGGACGGGGAGCTGCCGTGGTGTGCTGTGGGGCGCCAGCAGTGCCCGGCGGAGGAGGAAGAGCAAGAGGCGAAGTGTGGGAATGTGCCGGGGGAGATGCCACCGCCGCACCCCAGGGTACACTCCATCCCCACCCACCTGCGCATAACCCCTATGATCTTTCCAAGTGCCCCTAGGAGTACACATACTTCCAGTTGACACCCCTCATTTTAAGAGATAATAGGATGCAATTATAAAAGTAGTTTTACAGTTTTATTTAGTTTTGGGCAGGGTTTTGAGTGAATTTGCCAAAATACAGATTAATCTAATCTAAATTCAAAAACAAACCAACCAGCCACATAACATCTTACCACCAAGACTTAATGCACTGCATTGAGTAACAAATATTGCAAGATCACACACCTTAAAAGTAACCCTTTTCCTATTCGTACGCTGTTCTGCTTTATGTAACTTAATGACACAAGGGAGTTGTTCCTATGTGAGTAGGCTTCTACTCTAGACATGGAGCTCAGCCAGAAGAAATAAATCCACTAGTAGTATCCAAGCACCTGCATAAGCACTTCTGCAAACCCAGAATAGCATTGAAAATTAGAAAACCAAGAAGTTTCTTCATACAAAGCTAGCTAGAAGAAACATATATGTGTCTTTCATATAAAAGCACAAATTGGTGGTAAGGTTTTATTTTACTCTTGTAAGCACATCCTTTTTACAATAAGGTTATCAAATGTGGAAAACAGAGTATTTATTGCATAGAGTGCACTTTTCAGGACATAGTTTTATTAGATATTTTAGGATATTGTGCATGTACATACACATGACTATAAATAAATCCACAGTATAGTATTGGGATTGTCACAGTAGTTATGGTTTGGGAAACTATGGTTAAGCACAGCAAAAATTTAACAAAGACTAGTAACCACCACACTGTCTAAATCACCAAGTATCAGGCTATCAAACTTTGTATTTATTTGGCTGTCAAAAGCTTTTTATTAAAAGGTGTTACAACCTGCAAGTTATGTGCAAGGTAAGAAAAAATTAAACCAAATGTTTCTCTGCATCTTAACTTCATGAATTTGACAGCATTTTTGGCTATAGCACAGAGGGTCCTAAACCCTTTCTTATCAAGTATCCCCTTCCAGATTTGCCAGCATTCCCCTACTTATGTACATTTTATATTTTAACCCCTTAAATCCCAATTGTTAAAAGTCAAATTAAACACACCATTACACAATTTCTCCCAGTACCGCCCAGAGATGGTCTTACATACCCCAAAGGGTATGTGTACCAGTTTGGGACCCCCTGGGATAGCGCATTTCATTGCAGAAGCTGATTATGCATCTTCCCCCTGTATCTGTGTTTTCATATATCATCAGGTGAGAAAGAGGAAAGTGATTAAGAACTGTGAAATTGCCAAAATTAGCAAAAGAATGTTCTTTTGGGATTTTTTTTTGGGGGGGGGGGGGGTGGAAATGGTATACGTTGATTATTTACTAGCTTAAGTCAACTACATTAATTCAGCATCTTGACGAGAAATATTAGTATCCCTATGCTTCCAGAACCAAAGTGTCTTAATTACCTGGAATCCCAATGCAGAGGAACTAGCTAGCAATTATGGAATGCTTAAAGAGTATAAATCAAGAACATTTTTCCAAGACCTGTAATGTTATTTAAACTTAATCTCAAATTCTTTAGGAGTTGCTTACAACTGTCACAAATGACAAAATTCAGTTTGTATAACTTTGGCCTCATCCACATGTAATTTTGAAGAACAGAGGAAGGTAACATGAGGCATGCTGATTTTTCATTTTTAAATGGTTAAGGTTTAAAGCTGCATAGAGTGTTGGGTCATTAGAAGTTAAGTGCTAGAGAAAGCAGATAAGGCAGAAGAGGGCAGAGTAAGGTAACCCTGTAGAAGAGGGCAAGATAAGTTAATGAACAAAACTATGACCATCACACATTTACCAATATAGAAACATAAACAGTTACATAAATTAAGCTGTAAAATTTATACCGTGCATGAAAAGATTCTAAGTAAGTTAAATATTTCTTGCTTTAAATAACTGCTTCAAAAACTTGAATATTCGGCTACAACCTACACCCTGAATATTCAAGATGCATTATGACTGATGCATGTTGAAGACTGATACAGATGCATGTTGAGCAATATTTTTAAATATAGTCAGGAACCTGGACTCATTTACCCAACTTGAACAAAATAATATATATACACATCTTGAAATATGTAAAAAAAAAAAACTCTATGCTGCCTTACTGTCATAGAGAAATTTTTCCAATTATGCATCCCATTTTCATATGAAATATTTTTTGAAAAAATATTTCTATATAGGATCTAGATTTACTTTTTAGCACTCTACCTATGGTTCAAAAAAGCAAACAAAAACTGCTCAGTTCAGTCCAACAGCTAAGACAACTTGCGATTTTACTGCAGCTGCATTTCTGAAAATATATCCCTCATATCCACATACTTGAAGCTGTTTAATAAAAGTTCCATAGCATGGGGAAAAAAAATCCATAGCACTTACCAAGTTTATGCTGCCTGTTGGAGACCCATTAAATGATTCTGTGGAAGAAAAATCAATTTAGAATTCCAAAAATGTTTTCTAAACGTTGCTGTATCTAAAGGTTACACTAAAATCATGTCAGCTACACTACAAAACATTAAAGGAAAAATGGATATTGGGTGCATGCCACAAGTTGTTCAAATCTTTGCTCCCCAAGTCTCTAATCAAAATATGTATGTAAAAAAAAAAAAAAAAAAAGTGTGCAGCTGTAACTAGCAAAGAATAGAGTATTCATACTTCAGAGAACAGCTTATTTTAAAGTTTTAACCTCATAGTACAGCAGTAAAATTGTTTAATTGTTAAGGCATCATAGCAACTCACAAGTTAAAATGCAGGACTGAATGTAACCTTTAGATTTGACTGAACTCACACTATTATACTGATTTTTAATGGCGGAAACTTGTTTTTGTAAAGAGTTACCTATAGTTAGAAGAAATTATTCTTTTGGATTCTCATAGCTGATGATTCAGTTAGAGCTTCTAAAAGTTATCACAACTCAAAACTTGGTTCCTTTTATATTTTGAATATTGAAACTTTTTGGATAACCAACTAATGTTCAAATGGAAGTCAACGCAACTATCATTTGTTGCATGATGTTGTTACCTACCTACCTTCCTGTTAACTAGCAACTGTGGGACACAAATGGGCAGCACAGAAGCAGTAACAACAGCAGCTGCTTTGGCTCCTAGATGCAAAACAGTGCTATCTTGGTTAGCTCTTGAAGTATTTTTTACTTTACACAAAGATAGAGACTGCTCTCAATCATTAATATTCACACAAATTACTATCACCCCTTTTTGTTGGATAACGAGGAATAAAGATATTATGCCCATTTTGCTGATGGGCATGGGGTGCTCAGGTCACCAAAGCAACTAAGATAGTCATTCTGATCTTGGACAAGTGACTTCAATCCTAGAACTATACTGGTCTCAGGCCAGTGTCTTATACTACATCAGAGGTCAACAACCGACTGCTTGTAGTCTGGATCCAGCCCACAACTGTGGGTCTTTCGCTATGTTCAGCAGCAGTGGCATACACTGTCCCTATGCTGCTGCTGGACAGGGAGAAGCAGTGGCGGGGGGG